TATTAGTGACAAATATGCAATTTGAACTATATTGTTGTGATTAAGTATTGATTCCTTAAATCTTAGTTCATAGCCTCTAATATTACTCCCTGTGGGATCGATATTCAGAACTTCATTAGAGCTCTGTTTTACTTGAGCGATACATATACTTGAGTTGATAAGTGTGACTTTGTAATTATTGAATATTTTATACACATCTTTATCAAATCTATAACCGTTATTAAATTTTTGGCACTATTGCCGGGGATTTAAATCTTCTAGCAGCAGTATCAAATTCTTGTATTTTTAAACATATATAAAGTCGTTGTCAGAGATCACATGTTGCTTCACGTATATGTCTATGCTTATGTTCTATAAAACCATTTTTTTGGGTGTGTATGGACACAAATATTGATGAAGTATACCATTTCGAACAAGGAATTGGTTTAAGGAGTAATTATTGTATTTCGCTCCACCATCTGAGCAAAGAATTTTTATTTTTGTGTTAAATTGGTGTTGAAAAAGAAGAATAAATGTTTTAGTTACTTGAGTTGTTTCACATTTACTGTGCATAAGGAAAACCCAAAAAAAAATTAGAATAGTCATCAACAAAGGAAATATGATATCTATAACCTTGATAAGAAGGAATTGGGGAAGAATCCCATACATCACTATGGATCAATTTTAATAATTTGTATTTTCAAAAGGTTGTTTGTGACCCTTAGTAAGATTACAAATACTGTAGAATGTTGGAGTAGATGATATGTGTATCTTCTTACTGTTGGAGATGTTAGTTATAATATCATGATGTGGATGTCCTAATCTTCAGTGCCATAGCTCAGAATTTTGTACTTTAGAGAGAGTTGTAGTTAGAGTTGTTGGAAAATGCATATATGTGAGGATAGAATAGAGGCAATTAGAATTGAGACCCTATAAAAGAACCCATTGAGTCTATGGATTATCTATTGAAAAACTAGAATAATCAAAGGAGACAATGAAGTTATTATCCTTGGTTAGTTTGTGAACAAAAAAATAAATTGTGAGATAACAAAGGAACTTGATGCATTTGTGATATTGTTACCTTATCGTTTTGGGTTGGAAGAATTTTATCTCTCTTGTGCTCAATTGAGACAGAGTGTCCATTGCCCACTTGTACTTGTTTTTTCTCCTTGATAGACATGAGGTTGCTTGAGGTGACTGATTTCTGACGTAAAATGTTTTGTAGCTCCGGAGTCTAGTATCCATTCTTTTGATGTCACTTGAAGTGCTTGGGGTTGGATAGTTGGAGTGTACTCTAGATTTGCTCCATGACAACAAATGGAGGCTGAATGTCTTGTTTTATTACAAATTTGACATATTATATTGGAACAATTTGGTTGACGAGATCCCCAAGCTCCTTTCCTTGAGTTTCCTCGAGAACTTGAGGCCATATTTCTTCCTCTGCCTATATTGTAGACCGATCCTTTAAAAATAAATATTATATATATATTAAAAATTTATAAAATTTTAAAGCCCTTGAGGCTGTGAGAGCCATTTGAACCTCAGTTGATGAGTTAGTCTTGGTGATTTCAACATTGATATTAATCTCCTCACTACATAGGAGAGAGTATAGATCATCAAAAGATGTTGATTGAAGTTGAGTTCTGATTGCCGTCTTAAATGCATTATATGATGCTTGAAGGGCATTGAGAATGTATAAAATTACATCCTTTTGATCTAGATTTGAACCAGCCGCAGTAATGTGATCCACTAGAGTTTTGATCTCAGTTTTGTGTTGCACCATTTTATGATCCCTCATCGAAATATCATGTAATTCATTTTTCAATTGAATCACTCTAGATCTATTGGTAGGTTGTTGTCGACACTCTAATGTTGTCCAGATAGCTACTGTTGTAGGTGGATTGAGAAAATTAGGGAGAACTGTAGGTGAAATCGTTGAGTATAATGTTGCCATCAGGTTATGATCTGTTAAGTTCCATATGTGAAATTGAGGATTCTTGGTGATAGTGTTATTTTCTTCACAACTCTTAGAAGGACATGAGTAACTTCCATCAAGAAGACTCACAAATTCGTTTGCAGTGAATATTTTGAGGATCTGAGCACGTCATACTTGATAATTTTCAGTTGTTGATTGATTTTGTTTTGAGGTGGGAGATCAAAAACTTTAAAGAGGGAGGAATGTTTGTGATATGTATCGGATTTCAAACGAACCGAACACGAACACGACCGCTGTTCGTTCGTGTTCGGTTCGTTTACACCCCTAGATGTGAAGCTTACTTGATTGCAACAATACAACTATCTCCCAAGGAGAAGCTCTGATACCAATAAGACCCGCGCCAAACTGATACCTCACAACAGTAAATTACATATCTATATAAGAGAAAAGACAATGGTGAAGGTTCCAAAAAAGCTAAAGTTATATAGTTTGGTAAACCAAGTTGAAAGTAATGTTACCGCTTATAATATATATAAACACATAGGAATTGAGAGGTATGTATGTAAATGACCTTAAAGCTACACCTCCCAATTATTCTCCTTTCCTTTCCAACCAAAACCAAAGAAAAAAACCAAGTGAAAAAAATAAAATAAAACTGTGCTGCCATAAGAGGCAGACATCTGACTAGAGAGGAAAGCAACAATAAGCTCGACAAAGGAGAGATCCTCTGGTCAAAGAGAGATCTGTTTGCCTAAATCCCTCTCTCCGTCCCTTCCTCCCTCATTCGCTTTTAACTATTGTTAATTTCTCGTGCAGAGAGTCCTCCGGCCTCCCTCTCTATTCCTCGAAAAGTTCCTAGATCCTAGCTTTAAAGCCTCTCTCTCTTCGAAACAATCCACTATAAATACCCTTTCACCCACTATTCTCTCTCAAAAGCTTAAACCTTTTCCTCTGCTTCTCCTCTCTCCCGTCTCTGTTGCTACCCTGTTCAAAGGCTTTAAGCCAAGGAGAGCAACAGAGAACAAGATAAGGGAAAAAAGGTTTTGTCTTGTATCTCCGTCGACAACAATGTCGGCCTGGAAAGACAAGGAAAATGACCCCCGCCTTGAAGGCATCGCTTCTGCCATTCGCGTCGTTCCCAACTTCCCCAAACCAGGTCACCTCTTACTCTAAAGTTTCCAATTTTATTTCTCTGTTTTAAAATTCAATGAAAGCACTGTTCCCGCCTTCAGCTTTTCAAAATTCTTTTCCTTGGATGACCTGCTTTTCCTTAAAATAGCAACTTTGTTGCTGATCAGACAAATTTATCGTTATAATTCAGGGATTATGTTCAAAGACATCACTACGCTGCTACTTGATCCCATTGCGTTCAAAAACACTGTAGATTTGTTCGTGGAACGTTACACCGGAAAGGGTATCAACGCAGTCGCAGGTAATAATCTCTTCTCCCCCTTTCTTCTCCGATGCCTCATTGCCTTGCTCTTCTAATAAACCAGAGCTTCCCATTTTTCAAGATCTCAGTGCTTTTTAGGCTGTGGTAGATTTTTCTTTTATTGGCTGCATCACAATCTCAGTGGCAGTATATATAATATAATATATTTATATATAGTTGTAGAAATGTATCTATCTGATAACCTGTGTGGATTTCTTTAAATTTGTTGCCTTCTCCTTCTCTTTGTGGAGGTGTCTGGCATGATGCTGACATTGCCTTTTGGTGCCCACTCCTTTAAATTTTTTGGAAAGCTACTACTCTTTGTGCAACATTTTCTCTTCCCTTTTTGCTTTCAAGCTATCACTGTTCAGCGGATTCTCGTATGGGAACTTATATTCTGTTTTCCTGTTGTAGTTTCTTGTTCATTTTCATATCCAGTCATTTTCATGCTGTGTAACAGTTTCTTGTTCATCTTCATATCCAGTCATTTTCATGCTGTGTAACAGTTTATAATTTCTTGGCTTGTTGCTTTTGCTTGAAGTAAATCATTTGGATCTATACTCTGTTGAGTTCTAATGTTTGCGGACATTTTAATTTTAGGAGTTATATAAGATGTATTCTAGACAGTGCTTAAGTTCTATTGTGATTTGGGGTTGTGGATGTAATAATGTTGTATGGGAATAATAGAAACAAAATGCGCCAGCAAGTTTTGACAGAAAATTTATCCGGAGTGCTAGAAAAATGATTCTAAACAGTGGTAATTTTGCTCTTGTTAATTTCTATTTTAAACAGTGTTGTGTTATAGCAAATTTTTTTTTTTGGGTTATTTTATGTAAACCTTTTTTTTTAAAGGGGTTTTATTTTTGTTTTTTTTTGAGCTGCACGAATTTACAATTAAGAACTTAAGGGCTGCATTGTGTGACGAATATACAAGGTATTGGTGATGCAATTAATTTCTTTTATGGCAACAAAGTATTGTTTATGATTATATGCAGGTCAATCAGCTTATGATGCAATTTGATGGTGCTGCAAGATAAATAACTTCTGCTTTGACATTTATGTAAAGTTACTGTTGTTCAATGTACCTAATTATGTTATTATAATGAAGCAGTTGATTAATTTATTAGGATTGTGCTTACTATATCATGTTTTCAGACGCCACATGACCATATCATATCATTTTATAAGTGAAAATGGGCAGCTGTTTCCAAAAGGATTAGAGGATGTTATGGATCACTTTTTTTTTTTTTTTTTTGCTGCCGTTGCTCATTTAATGTATTTTTCAATCTTTTCTGCATTTTTCTAAAAACAAATCAACTTATTTTTAAAAAAACTCAAATAATATTTTAAAACACAATCATATTTTATTTTAACATAGGAGACTTGTTTTCTTTCGAATCCACACATATTGGTTTAATTGATGTTGGGCCCATTTTTTGAGAAGATGCAGAACAACCTGTGGATGATAGTCAACTATGAGAAGGGATAAAGCTGATGAGAATTATGAGAATACATGATGACATCCTGAATCATGAATGATCATCTGTCATTTTTGCAGATATGTTTTGAGAAGCTTACAAGATTAAAATAATTCATCTTTGTTGAATTCATCATTAATAGCTATCCAACTGGTAAAGCATGTGAGAAGTTATGTAGTGGGTCTCCTACTTTTAATTTCATATCGTGGTGTCTCTTTGTGGTTAGATGAAGACAAGATTTCTATCATCACGTGGAGCAATCCATCAACGTAAAGCTATTTCTCCAAAAGAAGATTCCACATGCAACTTGACTACTAATGTTGATGGAAAAGTAGTAGCACGTTATCCGTAGTCACAACTTTTTTTTGGAGTAATTTATCAGGCCAAAATTATATTTGACTCTCAGCAAATTTTAAGTGTTTGTATATATGAAAAAAATGAAGCTTCTAAATGATTATTACTGATGGCGTGTAGGTGAAACTAATGAATGACATTATTCTTGGAATACCAAAAGAAAAACTTCATTATGTTTTTGTATTAATATTTTGGTGTTTTTTTTTTTTTTTTTTGAAAAGGGTATTTATATTCTTAATTATTTCCTTTGTCCACATCAAGACAAAGGAAATATTTACAATGAAATAAGCTCAGTTGAATATTGCAATAAAAATGTGAGAATTTAGCCTTAGACTGATAGCACATACGTTTTTTAAGCTTGCGTGCATGATGGTAATATCCTGGTTTTACTCTATCAAATTGAGTTTCATTTTTGAAGGTCATGTTCTTCCACTCTTGCTGTAAAAGGAAGCAATGTTGTGAAGCTTGCGTGCATGATGTTAATATCCTGGTTTTACTCTTATCAAATTGAGTTTCATTTTTGAAGGTCATTTTCTTCCACTCTTGCTGTAAAAGGAAGCAATGTTGTATTTATGACATAGATGACAATGGATCCATGATTTTGTCAATTTATTTACTATTTTTGGCTGATCCGCAGACTTTTATTCTCCATCATTCATATTTTATTAAACTTGAATTCTAATTCATGTAGGTGTTGAGGCAAGAGGTTTCATATTTGGTCCTCCTATTGCATTGGCAATTGGTGCAAAGTTTATACCATTAAGAAAACCGCGTAAACTGCCAGGTAGATGATAATCACGTACAAAAGTTAAAGTAAAATAGTTTTAGTTTTCGTCCCAATGTATGACTAATGAAATGCATAATATGATTGTTATGCTCTTAAATAATATAATTATACTTATCAAATTTAATATTGTTTTGTGTCATATTCTAATAAACAAATAGGAAGATTTATTCATATCACTTAATGCCTATGTATTCAAATTTAAATTCAAAATTGCATGTTATGATGGCCACTGGATGCACCATGGATAGAGAAATACTTGAACATTTCTTATCACCCAGTGAAGAAGAATATCTAAACCTTAAATATTGCAATTTTTATTCAAAAAGGTTCCTTTGAACCTTGCTTTGAAAATTTGTAGGTGAAGTAATCTCAGAGAAGTATACTCTTGAATATGGATCCGACTGCCTTGAAATGCATGTTGGAGCTGTTCAACCTGGTGAACTTGCTTTAGTTGTTGATGATTTGGTTGCAACCGGTGGAACTCTCTGCGCTGCCATAAATTTGCTTGGTACGTAGTTTATAGTTTATACCATATCAGCATTAACATTAGCTTTATTCTACTATTTGGATTTGTATTTATTAAACTAATTCTCCATCATGTGGTGTTAGGTGATACATGATGGTTTTTTTTTATTGGATTTTTGATCAAATTTAATCGCAAATTCATGCACATCCAATATGTAAGGCCTCAATCCTAAGGCCTCTTGGTTGGAAGCTTAAACTCCCAAGCCACATATCTATTTTCAAAAAGAAACATAAATAAAATAAAAAGAAAACATTAAATAATAAATAGAAAAACGAGATTTTAAGCTGCCCATAAATTAAATTTATTGAAATTTCAAGTTGAATTACTCTTCATCTAAATAACTGCAAGAGAGGATCTTGGTTTCAATCAAAACTCAAACGATGAGGCCCAGCCAGAATAAAGTAACAGTGTCTCAAAACTATAAGAATAAAAGCATTATTGATGGTCTCACACCAGAAGCTTGACATAACAATGAGAATGAGGTAATGTTATTTTAAAATATTTTACTTGATTATGATTTCATTTTACACTTCACACAGAGAAATTCTAGCCTTTCATATAAGAAATAATAAGACAATTTAATGAATATAAAATCAAATTTAATGCATGTTCTATAAAATATTGAGATTTTTTTTTTAATATGAATTTTACAAAGTGTTAATGGCTTCTTAGATTTCTTTATTTCAGTTGGGGATTGCTAGAACTGAAATCATTGGCTTTCTTTTAATTTTGAGGGCATAAGCAGCATATGAAATTAAACCACTTTCCTAATGATGTTTCCTTCAATTTTTATAAATTTTGGAATATAGAATGTTCTGCGAAACAAGTTGCCATATTTCACGGTATAGTGGAAGAATTGATTTTCTTCCCTGTTTCTCATTAAAAAGGAAATCACGTGTCTAATTTATCTTTGCAGTAGGTTATTAATGGATGTATTTCCTTCTGAATGTTATATTTGTAATATGATTATAGAACTTTTAAATGTGTAAATAATAGGGATTATTTCAATAATATGCACAAACAACTTTTACAGTCATGCTAATCCGAACTTCTTAACTTATTAAACTAGGGACTTTTGCATAATCTTTGGTGGGCGTCCGTGTGATTTCTGAGCATATATGGAAGACTATTTTCCTTTAGCTGATATTTATGAAATTTAAACTAAATAATTCTGCAGTGATATGCTATCTATTAGCATTTAAATTATTTTATGCTTTAGTAAGAAGTGATCATTTTCATTATTTCACTTTGTTGCTTCATGCAACCATCTCTGCTTCTAAATTTTTTGAACTTTAATGTTGTTACAATCTCTTTGCAGAACGTGCAGGGGCTGTAGTTGTGGAATGTGCTTGTGTCATTGAATTGCCTGAACTTAAGGTACATGACAAAATTTTATTGCCTACTCTTTTTATTCATGCATTTGGAAGCACACAAGGGGGTGTGTGTGTTTTTGTTAATTCCTAATCATATAACTTCATCTATATATCCGCATATAAAATCATTTATCTGCGTTTGTGCGTACATACACTTGCTAATGACTGCATATTTGCTCTCTATAATTTCTCATCCATCTCCTTTCCATTCTATTCTCCTGTTTTTTTCCATTTTTTTTAATTCCCCCTCCCCCCTGACCGCTACAAAATTGGCATTTGTTTTTTTATTATTGAAATCAGCAAATTATATAAATATATTACTCTGAACATGTAAATACATGAGCTCACTCAGGGTGCAGACTCATTTTCACAAGGAGTTGGCCTTTGGTAGGAAAATGGGGAGGCCATTGCTTTTTTATCCTTTACAAATTGCAATACAAAGTTCATTTTTCTGGATGTGCAGGGCCGTCAAAAGCTGAATGGCAAGCCATTATATGTTCTGGTGGAATCTCATTGATGGTATTTGCCTTCTCTCCTTCTGCTGGTAATAATATACTACTTGTACCTTGGAGAATTCATTTAGATTAGCCGATATGGAAGCCAGCGTCAATATTTACATGAATGTATTGAATTTTGTTATTTAGCATCCTATCTGATCCTCCCTATATTTATTTGTCCTCTATTAACTGATTCTCTGAAATGAATTATTTTTTGTTTAAATTAGGGGGTATATTGTGAACATTTTTCCTTCATATTTCTTTGGGAGAGGAGGTTATGTATAACCAACTCAGCTAAATTGTGATGATACTATGGTTTAGAAAAAATAATGAACTTAAAGAAACTAAATTGTAAAGACTGACTTTTTGAATATATGACTGTACTTGGTGAGGGAAAATGAAGACATTGATTATGTACATCATTTCATTCTATCTTTAAGGAGTGATTGGCTCAATCATGACTCTGCAAATACATGTGTATCAGCTTTTACTAATTAATCAGTCATCATCAATGCTGACTATTTTTTATTAATATTGACTTGGTTAAGGTGCAAATCTTTGTAAATATTTATGATTATTGGGTCATCCAGTTTTATTTAGTTTAATTTCGTTATGTTATTTTATGCAATGGAGTAAAAATTTGTTAGCTATAGGAGTGGGTCGATAGATCGGGAATGGATGTGATTTCATAGTTATCATAATTGGTTGTGACTTGTAACTATTATGAGAGGATGTAACTCATCGTTTTGACATTTGCCATGATGGAATGCAACTTTTTAATCTTTGTTGATGCACCTTTTATTCTAGTGGTTGTCATTAAAAGTATCTTTTTTTAGCTATAAAAATTATGGGATCCCAATTAATCTAGTAAAATTTGATAAAATCTCACTAGGGAATCAAGAACAAGAGACATGGCTGAACTGGACTAGGTCATTTGATTTTCTCTAAAATGGAGTGAGATAGTTCAATCAAAGTGGTAGAGGGGTAAGCGAAATGTCAGCATCGATATTCATTACTTTCTGACCAACCCTGTATTCATAAGCATCATGTGGATCATGTGATATGCCTCTAAATTATTAAATTCAATGTTATAATTTGAAGGTTGCCTTTGTATATAATTATGTAATGCCATAGTCTTTGCTACTATTTTGATTTGTTTGCTAAATAGTTACGTGGGCATGTCTGTTAGAATAATATATTTCTTCTTCAAAGCACCAAAACCCTCTCGATAACACCATGTGATGAGGAGTGTCATTTGTTATATATTTTCTTTCTACCTGAACGTCCCGACTACTTCTAAAATATGGGGTGTGATATTTTGATTCATTGAATACCCGACATCTACAAGATAGTACTTCCCTACTAAATCACACATAAGATCTACTATTTAATATTCCTTCTAAAGAAATATATACTTCATGTGCAATTATAAACTACCTAAAGGTGGCATAAGAAATTTATATTATTGGGAGTGTATTAGAAATTTGAATATACGACTATCATGCACACTTTCCATCCAGCCATGTGAAATGTGAAACACATGTTAAATTCACAAACTTTCATAGCATTTTACGTCGGTGAGTCACACATTTCGATATAAGCCACCTTATCTTTAGGGACACGGGCATTCACATGTGTTCCATTAATGACCCCAATGCAATCTTATATCACAAGCTATTTTGTTAAGCACATTCAATAAGCTAAGAAAATTATATAAATTTATAGCTTTGAGTTTACCTTGAAGTAGGACATAACGATAATCATTTTTTATCTCAAGAAATTTATTATGAAAAATAGTATCTAGCTCCTTTACATTAGCAGATGACATGCATACCGGAGCATCTATACCAATGCTGAAATATGTACTAATTATTTCAGGTGAATGTTGAAAGCACTCACATGCTACCCTTATTGACTCATAGTGTGATAATATATATAGTTTTTATCCCTAATAATTCGCTTAACGTTGTTCTTGAAGAGCTTTGGAGATCATGATAAATTTACAAATCTTGTAAAAGAACAATAAATACTATTTTGGACATATGAAGCATAACTATGACATCTCTTTGTTTCCTGCAAATAGCTCCACAATCCATTTATATCCAATGTAAATTCATGTCATTGAGGGAGTTTTACAAATGCATGTTTCATATTACTCATTAATTAAACATACAACAATAATCTTGACCTTATGAAGCTCTTTCTTGTGGTCAAGCATAAAAATTCATCAAGCACCATTTTAATGAAGAGCATAAACTAGAACTACTCTTAACTAATACAAAGATAAAACATTTCATTATAATGCATAAATAAAAAAAAAGTTCGGAGGAATTTATAATCACAATATAGATATATGTAAAACAACACATTAGAGTCTGACTATAATAAGAATGAAAGTTCGATAATCTTAAATCGCTACGAACTGAAAATCCTTAACCATAAATTTTTTTTTAATCATATTGGCTTTCATAGAAAAACATGAGGTAATGAACCTTTCGTTCAACTACAATCAACTTGAACACCTCTCTTTTAATTGGGTCCTCAAGTAACTTACTAGAGAATAAATACATTTGAATGTAATCATATGCTTCAAGGATCATCTCAAGCATTCTGATAGCATCCTAAGTAGAAGGATGTTCACATGATGAACTTGGATCATAAGACAAATTTGAACATGTTGCAACAAGTTTAGTAATTTGACCCCTTAGGAAAAATGCTCCATTGGCTTTCTTTTTTCTTATGCCAAGTTCAATATTGTATTACCTGATGTAGTGCACTTAGTTGTGGTTTGGTACGAACCGCTCTCAGGATTATTTGAATTATTTCTTGTTGAGAAACTTCCTGGATATCCATGTTAGTTGGGGCTTCGTTACCCGAAGCCCATGCATGGACACTAGTGGCAAGGAATCCACCGAAAGTCATATCAAACTTCTCCTAAAGTTCTAGATCAATTCCACAAAGTTTGAATTTTTTTTGCATTAGGGACAACCAATATTTTAGTGTAGTGACTGATAATCATATCATCATGCACGTTCTAAAAACGTTATAGAGCATAGAAATAAGAAAAAGTAACTTCACTTCTAATTTCCCTTCCATCATTCAATTGAAGCATCTATAGTCTTATTTTTGTAGTCCCAGACCAATCCGATTGACCAACGTTTCAATTCTTTCCATAGTTTCCAATTTTTTTATATGGACCCACTTAATTTCTAGCGGACTCCTTTCATATTCTTTTCTAGTTTTCTCACGAATGTTTTGAATTATATTCTTCCGGTCTTCTTTATTGAAATGTGTTGAATGTCGATTTCCTAGATTTAGCTCTTTTAGACATACATAACAAAAGAAAAACACAACTTCTTTATCCCATGTGGTAGGCCAAACCCCTTTTGATTTTCCCATTTCAGCTCACTAGTTATGAAATAGTAAACAGAAATGTGAGAAAATATAAGTTATAAAAATTTGAAATATAAGTCTATCTTCTATCCTTATAAATGAAAACATAAATTTTGATTAGGAAATAAAATCAAGACTTAGAGTCAATGTAAAAATATAAATAATCTGACATCAGATAATCAGAATAAGACAGATGACCTATGAAAAAAGAGATCTTGGTTGCCTTAGAATATTTAAGGGCAAACTCATATATATAAAAAACCATGGTTTCATATTGGCCATCTACAAGATCCTTAATGCATGTGACTTATCATAACCCTCCAAATAAAAATATCGATTCAAACTCCAATTTCAAATCCTTAGGATAGCATATGATAAATACACTTTGTAATGAGAATATATTAATTCACTCTCTGAAGGATATTCATTAGTAATCAAATCCACTAATGATATCACACTAACCGTATTCATCGAATCCAAACCTAAAGCTCTCCTCATAAACACAACATATACCCGAATAACACAATATTTTCGGTAATCAAAAACTCAAACGAACACAAAACTTTCAGCTTAACCCCATAAAACAACAAGCATTCCTCATAATTCCATACAAGGAACTCTTAGCATAGCCTTCTTAGCATTTGAAAATAAACCCAGATGGCAACAAACCCAAAAAAGAGCACAGTCATCGTAAACCTAAAGAACAACATAACCTCATTGCATATCATACCTTCATCATAAATTCAAACACACAACCCTAAAAAGACCAAATTGTCATCTTAAACCAAAGGAACGACCAACCCAAGACCAATTTTTTATCATAAACCCAAAGTTATGGCACTAGTAGCATAAAAACAAACACCAAAAGTTTCTCATGCTAAATCCTAAGAGCATAGGGCACTCAACAACCCATGGACCACAAAACACTCACTAAACACCCGTACAACAAAAGCTTCTCAATCAAAATTGAATGAAAACAATAAATGCAACAAAATCCTCATAAAATCACATAATAGAAGAGGAGGTGCGGGAGGAGTTGAGCCCTGAGTGTTTGAATCCGAATGAAAGTGAGAAGAATAATGAGAACGAAAAGAGAAATATCTTCAAAGTTTATTCTTTAATACCTTTAGAGGAGACACGCCTGGATAGATAAGGGCAATTGAGCAATGAGTTCAGAAATGAGGGAATGGTAATGTGGGGAGAGTAGAAGAGAAGATGTCGAAACACGAGAAAGGTGGATCACACATAAAACTCCGAGGTCTGCTAATGCCTAATTTCATGGTCGAAAAATTGAGAAAGTCGTCATGAACGCCGTCCCAAATAGTGCAATTTTGCAGTGCGATTATTCACCGCTTCAACGATGCTGCCCCAAACACACCCTTATGTTTTTTTTTATATAGATCCTCTCAATGCAACTTCAATTGTTAAAGGATGAGGTCATTTATAAGGAAACATTTTGTTGATGTTGGCTTTATCAAATTTCACTGTTTTTTACTTAACCTCATCCATACTGAGAGAATCTTGGTCATTAGCTTTTTAAACATACAAATAATTTTATATGACATCATTATATTTGTCCCCCATTGTTGAGTTCTTATCCAAAAGAAGATTGAATGGTATATGCTTTGCCTTTTATTCACTTTATAAAGTCGTCGATTATGATTTGGATGTATCATCAATAAATCCTCAAGACGAATGGGTCGAGTAGGGCCATTCTTAAATAACAAACACGACTAAGGGTTGTGATCCATTTCTATCAATGTGGTATTGTAGTTAAAGTATTTAAAATTTTTTAAATTAATGCATCTTCTTGAGAAGTTCCCTTTTAAGGTTGGCCATATCGATACCTTTAGCATGGGTTTTAATGGTGATTATTCTTGCACCTAAATGGTTTGGACAGTTGTAAGAATGAACCTTCTTCAGGATATTAGTGATTTTTTCTTTTATAATGTACTTAAGATTTAGTCAAGAAGATTGATCTTCAAAAGAGTTGACATTCTACCTGGATTTACATAATGACCAATATCATGAATATTTGAGGTTCTTTGGCTTTTGTTGGAATTTTGCTATTTGATAAATGCTCAATGCTTGGGTCAACCCAACTAAGGATGCAATCGACTTCTATTGCACCATGTTCATTGATGTTGAGGGTGGTTTAAGTTGGCAAAGATTATCTATTCATCTTTTTGGTGTTGTTAAATTTGACGAAAGTTAACGATTTAATTTTGATCTCAGGTTGTCTTGTCACAGATTGTCTTGTCATACTAAAATACTGTAACTCATTGATCTTCTTTATTATGTATGTGTATTTTTGCATGGTAAATGCTCTAGCCTACTACTCATCCTTAAGCATGGTTGAGAATGGGTTAGAAGTTGAAATAAAAGACATGGAGCCTTGATACGCCATTAACAATTTCATTTTCTGACACAAATCTCGAGGCATGATATGAATTTTGAGACATTTTTTTTTCAGTAAAAAAGTTACAAATTTTGACGAAAAATCATTTAAAACTCTGAATTCAACAAACTTAGTCAAACTGACTGGTTTGACGAGATGATCTCAATAATACCAAAGCTGGTCCAATCTTAGTTAAATTAAGCCCAAATCAAGCCATTAAATGCTTTTGAAAGCTTATAGTGCATAATTGGAAGGTCTGACAAATTCAAAATATGACAAACTTATAGTTAAATTGAGTGTCTCTCCATGAAAAATCTAACAATTCCAAGAGCAATCAATTCTGACTTCATCGAAGCACTTAAATGCTCACAAAACATCTTT